CTATTAATTTTTTAGACACAATTAGAAACACGTAAAAAGGTGGAAAATTGAAGATTTTTCTACAAAATGAAGCAATATTAATTTTTTTAACATAAGATTTGTACTCCCAAGTGATACCTAGAATTGTATAACACCTAAAAAAATATAGGGTGTTTCATTGGGAAAGGGCAATATTTTAACCCTGTATAGAGGTCACCCAGGGGATTACAAAAAACCCATATACTATGGGTCTTGCGCCCTTTATAACTGAGTTACAGGGTGTTTTTTGAATTTGGCCCATTTCTTTCGACACCTATAACTTTTGAATCACTCGGTATATTTTTTTGATATTTGGTATAGATATTCTATACCTTTAGGACAATTTATTGCCACATTAAAAAAAATTACAAAATCCAGGTCCGGATTTAGAAAAATTAATAAAATTTGACCGACCCTAAAACAACACCCTATACATCATATTTTTAAGAATTGAATTTCAAATTCAGAAAGAGCATAAAAAACTGAATGTACTCATCAACTTTTTATTTTCCCGCATGCCGTTTTTCTACCAAAATTTAAACGTTAAAATGTACATTATGAGATTTTTGGTCCATGTAAATTGTAATTGAAGGGATTTTAATTATTTTTTCTTAATAAATTCAGATTTACTTAACATTTTCATGAAAATTCTTGAAATAGACCTATTGAACTTGAATTAACATTGACATAAACCAATAAAAATTACAATTACAGATCCGCACTTAATAAAATTAAAATGATTTCATTTCATTTAATAATTAATCATTGATTATTTAATTTGTACATTTCTACATGAGAAAATTCAAAACTTAACTAAGTAATTTACTAGATTTTTCAAAAAAGATACTAGAATAAGTATATGTATATGACTTATGTATAGACTTCTACGGGGTTAATTTATTTCCCGCGACCACAAAAGCGACCACAAACAAAACACCCCCGGATTAATTTCACTCCTGTTGATAATTTTCCAATTTCGCTGTACCAAACAACCCGCGAAACCTGATAGCTCAGACACCTCTAGCACTCGGTACGATGACATTGACCCGTCTCGACGGTTCGAGGAATGGGAAATTACCCCAAAAAAACCGCCCTTCGGTGTTTCCCCGGCTCCAGCAGACGCTGCTGTTGCTCCTATATGGAATGCATCATTGATTAGGCACCAGGCGTACACTTTCTAAACGCCTACGAGCCGGTATACGGTCTTTTTTTTAAACTACAATAGGGACACAAAAAAACTATAATTGTAAAATTAGTTACAATTTTTATAAAGATATAATAGTAGGTAGAATTCGGTAAGTACCTACAGTAGTAAACTTTAGTGCACCTTGCGTAGTATCATTTATAAATAAATCAAAAGTTGCGCATCTTACGTTATTAGCTATTTCTATCGATCCGTATACTATTTAACAAAACCACAATTCGGCCGATTTCCATGCATTTTCCTTTTGGAAAAATTGATTTTCCTATGCCGCCTGCCTCATCGTATACTTGACTTCGAACACCAAACTACGCGCTGTCGGGGATTTGGGGGAAACATCGGGGTGACCTTGGGAGGTCGAATGACCCGTGCCCCCTTTGTTGTAGTACAAATCGATAGGAAACGGAGTTAGTTTGCGTGTAAAAATGGATCGCTTGTAATATTTGTTCTTGTACTATACGAGGCGATGGAATAGAAGGAATCGATTACTTTATAGTTCGAGTGAAATGTGCTGGAATTGCAGCGCTAAAGGTTAAATACTTGTACATGACAAATGTAATAAGGGGTGTTTTAAGAAAAAGTAGAAAGTAATAAAAATTATGTCATTCGTTAAGTCTTGTTTAAGGGCCGATTTCATATACAGCTTCATATACAGTTAAAGTATCCTTTGACTGAAGAAAGTTCTAAGGTAAAGTATTCGTTAACCTTATTCCCAATTAAATATATTAAATTAAATATTAAATTTTGATTAAAAATTTACATTCTTTAACGTCAAAATGTGAGCCTTATCTTCAATCCTCTTCGAAGGACAGTCACCACCCAGATTTTTTTAAATGGGAAGGATTGCTATTGTTTTAAAAAATAAAATCATCTGATGGCTTAAATTTGATATAATACACTCCGTATGTAATACCTAATTATCAATTTGCTAAGGCCTTTTAAACAAGCTAGTCTTATTATTAAGGCTAAAACGGGATGACATTTTTCGGGATTTTCTGTAAATATGTAGGTATTATACATATTGCAGTCACCGAAATAATTAATTTATTCCATTTGGCGATTTCACCCTGTATGGTCATTATACATATAGGTTTCTTTAGGAAAAGGTATTGATTTAAAGACATTTTAAAGCGTTGGCTAACCTGAAAAGTCTGAAAAATTAAAGTATATCCTTTTTATATCTTTATGAAATCGGCCGTACCTAAATATTTAAAGCAACTACATTTTTTTGGGATGATTTAACTTACTTTAAAATCTCATCTTAGCGAATCTGCGACAAAACACCCCGTACAAAATTTCCATAAAATTGCCTCATAACTGTTTGTGCATTGCCGCAATTTGTTAACACACGAATAAGTGTATAATTCGTCATTTAAGGCAAACGTTGCTAATTAACATCATATTAATAATTTCCTATAATTGAGCGCCAATTATAACGTTCCATTCGAATGGATTCGCCGATCGAAAGCCCTGCCGAAGTTACTATAATTAAAGAAAACGTCGACGATATTGGGCAATAATTTCGCAAGTTAATTAGGGTGTATTTAACGAGCAAAGGTAAAACATCTCCAGTTACAAAATTTAATTTGAATTCGAGAAGGAGGAAATTTCGCACGACTATATCTATATTTCACGAGTAATTGCGATAATATTTACGGTAAAATATTTTACTGGATTAATCAGTAAAATTTTGCACTAGTTTCGTTTGTACTGTATCGCATCTTGTGCTCGGTAATTGCTCGATAATCGCCTCTAATGTCGTCCCGAATCATCCTCTCGAATGCCCGATCGTTCGATTCCCTTTCGCCCATCCTATCGCCGGAGTTTACCCGAAATCGAGCGACTATCACAAAGATTTATACGCGTCAGCAAAACCCGGAGCCTATCCGGTAAATTGCGAATAGAGCCGTCGCCATCGAACAACAATTTCCAGATAAATTTCCCGGGCGCTCCTTAATTGAAAAGCGAACGTGAAGTATCATTCCGAATTGGGTTTGCTCCAGCAGCATGCTCTAAATATATTTGGAACATTCTGGCCTATGAAAATGTTCTGAATATACTAAATATGTTAGGTATACAGGGTGTTTTTAAGGGAGGAAATCTAGGAGATGAAAAATCAACATTTTCCCTTTCGAATAACAGCCCCTACGGTGCTTCCTGGTTACCATGAAACGCCCACACCCTGTATATATAAGGTCGTGCATCTCGATAGGAAGGCCCGATCGTGACTGTTCGAAAATTTACGAGCGCTCTGCGCGATCTCTAGTTGGTTTTTGTACGATTGATTTCGGTAATTGGTCGAGAGGAGAGCATGGCTTATTAATTAGAGGAGGCGAGGCGGGCCTCGATTTTTTCAATGCGAAATATAAGTTAATTATGCATTTCGCAGACGGTGGAGGTTGCTCGGCGAACTGTGAAGTCGATGTAATGTTTGAATTATTGAGAGACCACAGAAGTTGCGGTGGAAATTTATTTATTCCATGTCTGCTTGGAAATTGCAGATAAAGGGTGAAAAAAATTCGAGTTTAATACTTCTTTATTTTCTCATAAAAACTCTTATAATTGGTTTTGTGGAAAATTGGTAAAAGTTATTAATTTGCAAGTAAGTGCACAGCAGTTTGCCAATATGATCAAGTGTATAAATTGAAAGATTATTAAAATAATATAATGGCTAGAGTGGCTGATGAGTGGAACTGTATGGCTTGAATAAAGAAAAATTATTAAAATAAAAGTTATTATAGCTTGGTTGTTAGAATGAGCATGTTTCAATCCCACAATATTCCACCCTTTCTTTTTCCTTATTTAAAAGTGTCTAATAGAGGTTGTCTTTGTTGCACCCAGCATAACCTATATTACAAACTATGATGCAACAACATGTGTAAGAATTTAAGTTCAAATAATAGTTTTTTAGATTTCTTAAATTTTTTTGGTTCTTTACCCTTTTAACGTTATCTAAATGGTATATTGTGAACAAACAATAATTGTCAGGCTTATTACTCAATAACAATAGTTAATATCTTAATGGTCCTTCATCAATATTTCCTAAATCATATTATCCTCTATAGTTTAATGAGATCCTATTATTAACACGATTCTATAAAATTCTCTAAACGGTTTGTACATATTTGTATTGGAGTGCCTTCTGGTATTTCTCTAGTAAATTATTTTATATATACTTAATGTCGGTCGATACAACCAATTACGGACACGAATTTCATAAAACATTCATACGAAAATGGTATTGGGGTTAATAACTTTTCAAATTGTTAGGTTAAGGTTGTTATATACATATTAGTTATTAGTTATTTATAAATGCCCATCGGCGAACGATACTTGATGGACGTGCGGAGTGTCTAGAGTGAGTTGCATGCAATTCGATTTGGTGTTTTATTTTCGTTTCGAGATTGATGTAATCTCAAACGTGTTGCTAAATAGTAAATGCTTAACGTTTATTTATGGGATAAATCCAATTAGAACCTAAAGAATCGACTTGGTTTTGTTCAATTTACGGTTCTATTTGTTACCAGCAATTATTAGAAATTGCGTCATTATACTTAATTAATTTATATTAACATAATAATTAATGTTATACAAGCGTATTGGCAAAATAATCGCATATTAATTGCATTGAATTAATTCTTAACCCTTTTAATTTCATTGGTGCAAATCCCCGTATCAATAGCGAAAATCCGTCGTAATCGCCCGCACTATAACTCCCCCAAAACAAAACATTCATGGCATGCCGGAGAGGCTATTGCGCAAGCGCCGAACGACCATTATACGCGGATCTTGCGCAGGATTCGCCGAGACCCAGTCTATCGAGTCGGCTGTAATCTGCCGTGTCGCGTTCGAAACAGTGTGTGTAAATCCGTTTTGTGTGTTATATTTCAATGTAACTAAATGCAGCTTGGTGCACAAATAGTCCATCGATAGCCGGGTTTGTTGGTTTTTTTCCCGTACAGTGCCGCAGGTTCGTGCGTATGGATTAAAATCGTCCGGGAGCGCAGCGAAGGTGAGTTCTGTATTTGTTGTTTTTAATGGGGGCAGTTTTGAGGTTAAGTTTTAATAGGTCGATGTTATCGCTGTAATATTAATTCGTGTGTAGTGTGTTGCATCGATGTAGGATGTGTATGATACGTTCATGGATTATTTCTGTTTATTATATAAAAGATTCTTTTTATATAAATACGGTTTATATTGGGAGATTTGTACAATTTAAGTGCTCTGCGTTCATCCAAACAGTCGAGTTTTTCAGCTAAATGAATTGACATTACGCTTATTATTTTATTAAAAAAAAGTATTTTTTTGTTAAAATATGTTTTACAAAATCTAATAGTCTTCTGCCAAATAAATGTCATTATCAAAAATGACATTTTGACAATTTTGACATGTAAACAATAGTAAAGTAATTATAGTACTAAGTTCATGCCAACTTGACCGATGTAACAAATGTTAATTAATTGCACAATGGCTTATTTTCCATATATCTTGGCGTTATCTAATGACTAATTAATGCCCCTAATGGTGGTGAAATTACAGAAACTGCTTAATAAAAATAACCTTGCTCTACATTTTCCCGGTTGCTTCATAATTTCGTGTAATAAGTAATCCACATGTGGTTCAGTAAGTGAAAAAGTGATATTAATAATTACAGCTTTGTACAGAGTGTTTCAATGAATTATGGAATACAATAAACTATGCAAATCTTCCCTAAATTAACATCATTAATGATTATAAATAAATATAGAATTAAACATTAGAAATTGAAATAGTTAGAAGTCATATCGAATTCAAAAAGTCAAATTTTTCGTTAGCTTTTGAATATAATAAAAACGTAATTAATTCAATAATACATTATGTACCTAGTTATTTACTAATCCCACGAAAATAAGTTCAATTCAATCCACGTCAATACATGGACAACGCTTTTATCCATTCACCTACATATGGAAAAACACTCTAAAATATTCATTCGTCTATAGACATTTTTTAGTAGGCAGACATCAACCATCTTTTCGTGGCGAAATTTGCATTTACTCCATTGCAACATTGTCTCTTTGGTGTAGGTCAAGTTGATATACTTTGTACATTGTCGTACCGGGGTCAAAAATGTCAAGTGGACTGGCTTCCCGCCTACGACACGTTTGAGAACATTAAGGATATTTTATTATACTCTCAATACCTACACCTTGTTGGGGTATTTGCATTTGGCATTTACATCATTGTCCGCGTATACGTCACAGGTTATACAAATTCGAAAAGAAATTTGAATATACCTAGTCGAGTTTATTTAAAAACTAACCTGGTTAGCTGAAGTTGGAAATTCTTGTTCTAAATATACTAGATATCTAGTGCAACTAGTGCATATGTACGGTTTAACACACGGGAAGGATTCAGTACACTTGATTCTAATATTAGACGGAATTAATGCACTATCAAAAATTCATTTTAATCTATAGTCTCTACGAAAGTAGTTTAAACTATTCGATTAAATTGTTTCATTAGAAAATGATGCAAAAATGTTGTTTCTAAAGTGAGTTGATATATTATGGAAATTGGGTGAGTTATAGTTTGTATATTAGAGAATCAAAGAATGTTTATCGTTACAAAAGTGGGTTACAATTGTTAGATAATATTTTATATTACAAAATCCATATTCCCCACTAAATAAAGTTCCTACCGCAACTCGTTTTGCGGTTGTGGAAGTTACAAGAGATGTAGTTAGGTGGATTCGTTAATAAATCGGCGACGACTTAAAATTAAATTGACTTTAGAAAGACCGTTCTACCGCTCGGTGAACGAAAATAGAACTGCACTCGTGTAAGAGGAACGAAATGGGGTAGGAAATGCGAGTCGGGAAACCGGGGGGAGATTCCCGTCCTTTTAAAACCACTCCCCGTACGTACGAACACGAATTTAGAGTTAAAAATAACATATAGATAGGTGAAATCAAATACACAATTCGTTAATGTCGAGTAAAAAAAACGTTAAAATGTAGCGTAAAAGGTAGGATTTAAAAGGACAAATTCATTAAGGCTTTATCAACATTTACTAATAATTTTCATATAATGTTTCTCATATCTTGATTAACTCTCTATAAATCTGGTTCAAGTAGATTCGAGTTCAAGATTAAGCTGTAATGTTTCGAGAAATAATTTGTTGAAATAGATTTGTAATCTCCAATTATTATACATTTGCATTCAACTATTTTTTTTTATAATACGGTCTGTTGGATTAGAAATCGCTTCGGGCCGATCAGGTTCCGTGCATTATAATACAACTTTAAGATTCGGACGATAGTACAATTTTATATTTATACCTATCTCTACCTAAACATTAACCCGTTTTATATACCTGTTAAAACCATTGCCAGGTTTGAGGTATAAGAAATTACGCCGACGTGAACGAGTACCAACAGTTGCCAAAATAAATTCCCCCATTGGTCGTTACGCTCATTTTTCACGAGGATTATTTAGTAGATCTCCGTGTATCTTCTGTACTCATGGAATCGGATAAATATGTTCTAATAAATTCCGTTAGAGCCAACTCATGCGACCGGCATCTATTTTCGCGCATTCGTCAGGATTTATTATCCCCCATGTCTACAGGGCGGCCCAAATATTTCACCTAAAAATAGAACGGGATGTTTATTACAACGTTGATAATCAATTAATGCATTGAAATGTTTTTAAAAATTGCCCTCTTTTCTCTTTTAATGAGTTAATTATAATTATGTTGGGGTATATGTATATTTAGAATAATGCACCCCATTAGGGGAGCTGCAACTACTTTAGGGAGCATTTTTTAGAAGCCTGATCTAGAGGTTTGTCTATTTTTGAGCAGTATTAGGTACAACAGTCTGGTGAAAAGCTGCGGGTTAATTTTGGGCCGTCCTGTATAAGCGACCGGATAGTTGCAAACCGGTCGAAAATAGACCGCAGTAACAATTGCCAAATGTCTATCAGCGCGGCGAACTTTTGAAAAAATCAAAATAGACATAATTCGTTCATTGTTTATCATCCGTCCAGATGTTGTGTCGGTTTTGAAGTTCGAAATTCTTGTTCTGATTGATTCGATGACATAATTTTCGATTTTTTGCGAAGGCGATGATGTGAGTGATGGTCTTGAAGACTTTCAAAGTCGATCGTCTGTATAATATGAGTTTTTTTATTGAAAACGATATCCAGGAAAAGTGGAAATGCACGCTTGAATAAGGTCCCAAAAATTGTTGGCGAAAGTCTTTAAAAAGCGCATTTCTATATCGAAAAATGATGCTTCAAAAGCCGAAAAGTGACACTTTTAACGCCGATATTTCACGCAATTTGGCATCGGGTCACAGAAAACGCGTCAAATTCCATTTTTACGGCTTGCATTTTATATGAAGTTTTATTTATAACGTTACACTTTTCATTAATGAACACTTGAAAGCAAAAATCCGATTTTTGATCTCGACTTTCACGGGAATTTCTTCAAAACAACACCCAAAAAGATCCGGCAGTAAATGCCATCTTCATATACAAGGTGACCCACTCAAAATACAACAAAATCGACCATACACTCAAAAGTTCACTGGAAAATAAAAATTTTTCCCTCATCTCCCTAGTAGGTGCATTTTTTTACTACATACAAATACCACCAATCAGTAGAAAATACTAAAGAGCTTCCTTCAGTTGTTGACCCACTTCTTCTCTCCACTCGCTCCTTCAAACTTAAATTAAATAATGGCTATAGTGCGGTTAAATTTTCATCTGCCGCACAATCAATTTTCCTTTTGTTTTCGTCTCGTAGAAAACGAATCGAACGAACAACTGTCGACAATAACGCTGATCGTTGCGCGTACAGAGCGTCCCAAATTCGTGACGCCTCGAATTCCGGACACCCGGTATAGAGAACGAACGAATGGAGGAAAGTGTGTCACATATCAATGTCTATCCGAACGCACGCCGACTGTTATTCAATATAAATAATGAATGAATGCCTCCATTTTATATACGAAAATATAGAGGAAACTTTCACATCATCGCTCGGTGCCATTGTATAGCCGAATCGAGCCGACGAAGAAGCGAGCAAGCGAAAGCGTTTTGGAGGTGAATCGGAAAATCCCCAGGATTATACTACATTAAAGTAAATGGAGAAAATCGCGTTTTGGATTTTCGAGTTCGGCTCGAATCGACGGTGTAACTTTACCTAGGCGTAATGCCTGTCCATCTCGACGATCTATTTCCATCTGCAAGGCCATTCGCTATTGAATTTTAGTACAATCGACGTCGAAAATAGACCGTCAAGCTCACGGGGCGATTGCATTCGAGGAGTCAAAGGACTTGCTAGATTGATCGGATCTTTCGTACAAATGCGGTTCGATTAAATTGGACCAGTAGCCACAATAGTTTGCTAGATTGTACCATACAAATTGATTTTACTATCGTTATATACAGAGCGTTTTGTTATCGAATAGGAGTGCATGTATCTTGCTCGATTAAAGACCCAAGTGATTAAAGAAAAGTACTTTAAGGTACAACAATTTTCATAAGAAACTCTAATTAGTTTCCAAAGTTTGTAAACACCAGCAACAACTTTACCAATTTTGTTCAAGAACTTCTGAAACTCCTTTGATATACCTACCAATACTTGTATAGGCGTTTTAGTGAAATTCGTGAAATAAACCAGACGCTTTCGAAGCAATAATAACGAAATCGGGTATCTGGTTGATCGACTGCTTAGTTCGTTCCCTTTCCTTATTGTACGGAAACCCTGACTTTGAAACCTTGACTTATAAATAGACCAGACTCTGTACGTGAATCAAATTATGTTGTGAATCGAGAGATATAACAGAGTAGATGCAAGTTCAATTTCGAAGATGCTCGCTTTTACTTCCAAGCTTTATTGCATTCCTACAGGGTGGACATAAAAAACTCATTTAAAAAAAATATAGTACTGGCAAAATCACCGTGATGAATCGCTAATTATAATTAACAAAAACAAATACTTTTTTATTCAGTGACGCACATGCCT